AAAAAAAAAAAGGATTTTTGTATTTTACTAAATATATTAATGTTTCAAATCTTTTCAAATTTGAATTTCCAAGAAATGTTATATATTAATTTAGAGAAAAATGTAACCAGTTGCTCTTTAGTGGGGAAAAGCAAATAAGTTGCATCATAAATATACTGAATTATGCAGGTTTGGGCAGTATTTGAAACAAATGTCAGCAGATATTCCTTATGTGGAGAGTTTTCTCCCTACATCCCTGACATCGTTGCTGTATCCTTGCAGTTGCCAACGACAATGCCCCAGTTCATGCTTTGAGACCTGGCTTCCTGTCGACGTTTGCTCTGGCCACTGATCAGGGCAGCAAACTGGGCCTTTCTAAGAACAAGAGCATCATCTGCTATTATAACGCCTACCAGGTCAGACCCCTTCTGTCCACCAGTCAGTAGTTTGGTATATTTGTCATACCATAGTTTAGCTCCAGCTCCAGCTCTAGCTTTCACCATTGTTAAATTATTATGTTAAGTTATTGCTATAATGAAAGCAAACAGCATATTCATTTATACACACAGTACTTGTTTTAGGGTCCTTTGCCCCAAATTACTGCATCAGTGTGGCATACAAGCACAAGGTCAGGTTGTTCTGATGATGGTCTTCAGCTCTTCTGCATATCAGAAGTGGAGGGGATAAAATTTTAGATATGAATTTCAAACCCTGACCTCTACCCAAGTTTAATGTCATTATTTCAGTTTGTTCTGAGGTCAGGATGAGTATGGATTGACCAGCTCAGAAACTCAGGTTTGGTAAAGTATATCTAGTTTATTTAACTTATATATAACATGTAATGTTTCTGGATTGAACAGATTGTGCAGTTCAATCGGCTACCACTGGTCATCAGCTTCATTGCCGGCAACACTGCCAACACAGGTAAAGTTTGAGCCAGCGATCAGCAGAGTGTCGTTTAGATGTCATATGAAGAGTCAGTAGTTGTCAATATAAAATCAGCATTACAAGTGAAATTTAACCAAATCACAGGATCTTCGATTCTATTTAGACTCAGACTGTCAGAAATATTATAATTCTGATCATTTATCAGGACATATCCATATTTTTTCATATATACACACTAGGGGTGCAACGATACTCGTATCGATATTGAACCGTTC